CTAACCCTAACTAACCCTAACTAACCCTAACTAACCCTAACTAACCCTAACTAACCCTAACTAACCCTAACTAACCCTAACACTAACCTAACTAACCCTAAAACTAACCTAACTAACCCTAACTAACACTAACCCTAAATCCTGAATGTCGTTGGCCATTTCCTCGTCCCATGCGTCTAAAAGCACAGATGTATCATGTATTGGACTACCGGAGTTCGCACTCAAAGGCAATGTAGGAACCAAAGGAGACGAGATCAATCCTGATTCTTGAATGTCTGTAACAGACGCGATGGGCGATATTGATCGGACGGTATGTGGCCAACCATCCTTGCGACGCTTCGGTGGACCTCGGCCACCGTCATTCTAACATATACGTCAACATCTACATTGACGGATGCAAACACATGACTGACCTTTGGTGGCGACGCTTGAGATAAAGTTCGCTTTCTCTTTGCAAATAACGAGTCACTGATGGCTGTTCTAGGTGTGACGGACGCTGAGACTTCATCAATGACCATAGAGTCTAACGCCTCCCGGACATCGACATCATCTCCTTCCAATGATCCGTCTGCATCTTCATCAGTGGGATCATTTAATGCAGCTGACACTGGAATTGCGTCATGATCCTTGAGTGTTAACCATGGAATGTCCAAGTCAGACATCATCCTGATATAAATTCAGCGTCTATATGTACGATGTATGAACCCTTACCTTGCTTCTACGGTTGGTGGGGAGTTGCATGGGATTAAGCGTGGGTTACTCGCACTGACGTCAGAGCTCGCCAATACCTTTCCCAGAGCGTGAAAGATATGAGACATGTACCGAGGACTTGTCTCCATGTGTACAATTGCAGAGTACAATCGCTCCAACCCAAGAGCCTCGAAGAAATGATCATCTCCAACATCATCCATCAACCTCGGATTTTGTGGAATGACGATGCCATCGATCGGAGCATTCATGTCTATATTAGTAAGCTGACGAAAGCGAATTAGCATCCACGTCGCCAGCCTCAAAAATATATGCGAGTTCCCGTCCTCAAATAAAATTTTCGTCCACTCTTTCCACCCATCTTGGACGCTTGGAAGCAAGACCTCGTCATATTGATGCACATCTGCAGCTGATTCTTTCCAATCCATGTCATTGTCCTCCTGGTGGAATTGATGAGTGAGTGTCTCGTCGTAGCGTAGTGCATTATACTCCATTACTCACTTCCACTTCAGGTTCCACAGACGGATAGACCGCTGATGCCTCCTCACCATGATCCTCAGACTCTACCATAGGCGGAGAGGCCGCTTTCTGCTTCCCCAAAGCCTTGCTGGACCGTGTCTTGCGCGTTTGCTTTTTGTCCTTCTGTGTCCTCTTCGAATTCGCATTACTTTCAAACATGGATGCTATCTCATCAGTAGGGCTCTGAAATATTGAGTTAATCGCTGAATAAATTTAGGATGAATTATAAACCTCATCGTCGTTATCCAGTACCTGCAACTTCGTATGTTTGCCTCCTTTAACTGCCACGGATTTCTGCTGACGTCCGCCTTGTTTAACCTTGTTGGAGGAAGACTTAGAAGTTTTCTGTTGTGACGAAGCACTGTCACCGGCGTCTGCATCAATCTGTGATAATGCCTGCTTGCTTGATGTCGACATCGACCTTTTCTGTAGTGACGAAGCACTGAGACTGTCATTTGCGGAAATCTGAGATGATATTTTCTTGCTAGCAATCGACTTCGACCTTGTCATCCGTGATGAAGAACTAAGCTCGGTTACTGCATCATCGACCACGATCTGAGATGATGTCTCCGAAATTGTCGAACGTTTCTTGGTGGTAATTGGGTCATCTTGTGAGTCCATCGAACCCGCCACTCGTTCACTTTCATTGTTCTTCGGCTGCACAGATCCATCACCGGTGAGTTTCTTAATCACGACGGACATTGAATCGTCGTCGGAAAGGATGTGTTGGAACGACCCCCCACACATATCGTCACCGCCAGAACAGAACGAATCATGCATTCGTTTAGCTGTCACTGTGTTTATATTCAGTTCATCTTCGTACAAATGGAAATGGGGCAAGAATGAGTGAATTACGTTGCTGAACATCTTTGAACGCTTTCTTCTCCCAAAAGTGAGTCCAAGTTCGCTTCATTGCTTTCAGAGCTGTCGCCTGAGTTTCTTCTGTGAATGAGCTGTCATGCAACGCTAGTGCAAAGTGATAATCTAGATGTGCTGAACGCCACTTGGAGGTCGAGCTGGACGCGTCATCCTTCGCCTCACGATGAAAGGCTACGATAACATCTTTGAAATAGGAAACCAAAGATAGGTAGAATTGGAGAGTTTCGTCCACTCTATCAGCCTTCGGAAGTTTCATTATCTCTCTTGCGGTACGTTGATACACACGAAATTGCTGGATGACAACACGAATTTGATCTATGCATTTTGGGGGCACCTTCACCTTAAAATAGTGGTCCGTAATGCAATAAAAACCAAGAATGGTAGTCAAAAAACTTACCCTTATAGTCGCATCGCTCAGTTTCAACATGTACATGTTATCCTCGACTTCCAGTGACACTTTATCCGCCAGCAGGAAGCCCATCTTCGTCTGATGCAGAGTTTTTATTTGCAAGGCAATCGGAGTGGGCGTTTTCGATGTCATCTAGAAGTAATTCCTTCCTGATAATGTGCTGAAGTCGTAGCTATTATTGCATTTCCTTGCGTGTGCAGTAAGGCGCTGAGTGGCGCAGTGGCTCGCGTATCCAGATATGGTAATATATTCCTACGCGTGGAAATCAACGGAACCGTGTGAAACTGCAATATTTTACATTACCAACCGACCAATATCGAGCAGTTTTCATGGCGTTTCTGCAACCCGGCCATTTTGCTAAAGCTAAACCAGCGTTTCTACAACCAGGTCATTTCGCTGTAGCTAAACCGTTAGCAAATCCTGCCCCAACTGCTCCTGCACCTCGTGCACAACAACAATCGGTGCAGACTAATCGACGAAGAACAGAAGTCGCACCTGCATCTGTAGTAGGCACCGGAAAACAGCCTGCGAAGAAAAAACGTAAGAAGGCGGATTCAAATTCACTTAATGCATCCTATATTAGACTTGTCCCAATTATGGATGATGATGATCCGGACGCGATGGACATAGAAGATGTCGATGGGCCCAAGTCTCGCAAGGTTCAAGCAGGTGACAGCATGAAAGATCCGATGATCGTATGTTCCTACCATTTTTGAATCAGAACATCATTAACATTCTCTGAGTGCTGCATTTATTGCCACGATGTTGGCTCTTACATATGGACATGTCAGGCTGAAGGTTGCGGGAACCCTGTGTGTGTCGGTTTGAGTGAATGTGATCACGGATGCGTGAATATATTCTGTGATCCAGAGACCGGTAAAATGAGTGTGACTGAAAAGACATTCATATGTCCTCGATGCCATCGGGATAAAGGTCTGGCAATGACTGTAAGTCAATCCGCTGCATAGAAGGTCACACTTATTCAAATAATTGTTTACAACAGTACAATGTTCAAGGGTACTCTGTTCGCCAAGACTTTCTCTATCGCAACTACTTCCCGCTGCTCGCTATCTTCTTGTCTTGGAGTGGTTTTGGAACCCCGTTTGCGTCAAACGTAATCAGATTGACGCTAGAAGAGCATTATCGTCGGGACAAAAGCAGGGTGCGTGTCTTCATTTTTATTGGATAACTCTCTCACTCTAATTATTATTGAAAAGTTGCACATAACTACGCGAGCCCTCAGAGCCGGCAATAATCGTCCACAAGCTATGATCCCTTCGTTCGATTGGATGCGTGAGTTCTCCTATGAGGGAAATCTGTTGATATTCGTCAACACACATTCTGACACGAAGACGGGGAATCTCGTTGTATCCGGAAACGAGCAAAATCCGAAGGCAATTCCAATTCATGAGGTGAGATTTCTGAAATCTATCGAGATTTACCTGAGCATATGGACGATTGTTAACATAGCTTCTATCAAACTACATTGGGGATAACAATTTGAGAGCTGCAACGCATGCGATCTCCGCAATCAACAAGAAATCAGGAGTTGGTCCGTGCATTCGCGGGCTCGTGATATGCGCATGCGGATCTACAGGAAGACTTGATGACAGTGCCATGTTGTTAACACGCTTCGTTAAAGAGTGCGTGTCGTGTCAAATATCTCTTACAATACGATTTGCTCATATATAAGCAATCAGTGATATCTTCGATTTTGTGCTGACATTTTCGGGTGTATCTACAATGGATCCAGTGGTCGTTCCCGCGTTGAATCGCTTCATTGAAAATGTGTATGTATACGACTTGCAGATGTGGGACGCGCTGGAGGAATCATTTGGTGAAGATAGACACGCCCTCAACCAATCACCGGTATTTCTGTCATACGCAGAAATGAAGGCAAATGGAGATACAGTGCGACAACGTATGGTACAAACAAGGGTACTCGCATACTCCAATCTCAAAGATGGGCGGCCTTGGGGACTGGACATATACCGGTGTTTGGGTGCCGGGTGCAACGCACCTGCCTACAACATGATATTTCATCCGCACGGAAAGCAATATTATGGGAAGCAGTGGTTGCAGACAAAGATGAAATATGAATGTTTGGAATGCGGCATCGTTCACAAAGCCATTTCTTGTCCATCTTGGATACATGCAGGGCGGTCTCAAAACTATGGACGTGTGTGGTATGAGTGGCCACTCAGCGCCGAGCAGAAACGGGATATTGGAATCATATCCTAACCATTTTACGATTCATTTCGTTGTGTATGTCATCCTATGTGCTACTGACTGCGTTTTGATATTGACTTTCTGCGATTGAAGGTGTCATGCTTCATGTACACACCTGCATACTTCTCACCCAAAGTAGATAGCCCTCCCCACTCCATGTTCTTTTCACGCTTTAGATCGCTATATCATGCATATTGTGCCGTTTAGTCAAATACACCGACCATATATACGAGACTGATCTACACAATACATGCAAAAATGGTGAAAGACCATTCTTCAAGTCTCTCCTCCGTATCATAGCGAGCACGCTCACTACCACATCAATTTTGTGCCATAGTATAGCCCTCGCATATGATGCTTTAACAACAGCAACACTTCAAGTCTCTCTAACTTCACGCATTTTCTGTCCTTACGGGTCCTTGAGTTTCATGGAATATAATTATTGCACACCATGTAAAGGATAATGATTTCCCGGATGTCTCCGTGATATCCGTGGTTGACCCATTCTCATCACTAGTGCATCATGTCATCCATGAGGCCTGAGTCCCTATGCATATATAGTATCATCACCCGTCTCTTGATCGCATCCCTTGACTGCATTCACTAGCCACCTGTTTCACATCATGACTGACAATAGGTCTTAATTTCGTCGGATTACGCCATTTCTCTTGTTTGATTTGCCTGCGTATGTCGTCGTAGAGGCAGCTCGCCAATTTGCATCAGCCTTTGTCCCGAATAAGCGTACCCGTCTTGAGTGTGTCAAATTACTTCTGTCAGACTTCAGACTTTTACGCACCGAGTTGAATACTGCACCTGATGAAGTGTTGCGTTCTCATTATCTCTCTTTTATCACACATCTTTTGCCCTTTGTATAGTGTATGTGCGTGATCTCAGGCTACATGCCTGCTACCAATGCTACTTTCGTCAGGCCGGACCAGTTGATCCTCACATTGGCTGACGACCCATTTGTAACAACTTGCTTTGATCATTAGTGTGCGCAAAGTGACCCAAGTCCAAGACGCCAAATCAAAGGTTGCTGCAGTGTTCTAGATCGACACATGCTGTACCTTCCATTCTTCGATGTACAAGGTTGAAATTTGTTAGCGCTTGCCAATTCGACATTGGCTGATGCAGGGGGTAGCAATGTCCTAATCGCCGACATCAAGGGTAATTGAATCCGCAAGTATGTTGAAGGCATTCCTGTAGCAGTATCAGGCAGAGTAATACAGACATGCAAAAAAAAAAACCTCGAGATGCTCATAGTTAATCGTTCCGCTGTTTTAGTGTCTCTGTTTCTTTCACTAGAGCTTGAATCTGTTGATGCAGGTTCATATCTGAAACCTCAATGTTGATTCAGTTAGTACATTGAAGTAGAACGTTACTGTATACAAACTATTCTGTCATCATATGATTGGAAAAACGTCCAGAGCTAGTATTAGCTATCCATCCAGGAATGGTGATAGCGACCCCGCCCTCCCATTGGTGAGTGCGCTGAGAAAAATGAGGATCTGGAAAGTACTTAAGGAGTATCATCCGGTTGAAAGATGTTTGCAAACGGAGGGTTATGGTGCAGCATATGTGAAGTGTCTGGAAACATAAATTCAGTAGGTGTAAAAGTCATACAGGTCTGAAGGAAAGATGTGAATGTCGTAGCTGCTTAGCATAAGTGTTTGTGTTTGATATTGTCATAACGTCATAAACAGATGAAGCCAGCTCCAGCAGCCATCCGAAGCCACGAACATGGCAGAACCTCACGGCAACGCACTCAACAAATCCTCTGACACCTTCGAGCCCTTGATCATTGCTACACTTGGTTCATCAGCAACGAAAAAGGGCATTGGAAACCCAAGAAAATGTATACACCTCGAAACGAGCATGGCCTGTAGAACAATGCAGCAGCGGACGGATCGGGGTTCGAGCGAGTCCATGAGCGAGATCGAGCAAGCAACAGGTGACAGTGATGTAGTCATTGATTCAAGCCTTCGACATATGGACTCCGCATCAGCCTTGACCTAACGGATCAGCCACGAACACGAACCTATTCACGACAGTGTGTCCTGTCCAACATTCAGCATATATGCACCCAAAAGGGCACGGGAGTGTGTTTTCTTTACATATGCCAGTCTCAGCCCCTTCTCGACCTGTTTCTGCCATACGATGTCCATAAGTGCATTCAAACCCACCTCCCGTTGTCTAGAAGCACCACCTCTCAAAAGTCAGCACTATTCAATCAGTTCCGAACTCCTGACATACTTGCACAAATGAACGTCAAACCACCTATTTCTATTTCCGCTGCTGTACTATTCAGCATTATCGAGCCTGAGATTGACGTCTATGTCCACTTCTGTCCCATCCTGAGATGTTGTAAGTAGCGGAAATCAAACTCACACCAGACGTACATGATTTTGGGCTACTGTCACCCCTAGCAGCATGCAGTAAGACACAGAATTAGTGTTGAGAGATACGTGAGGGACTGCACATACCATGGGAATGCTGGCATGTTATAATCTGTAA